GTCTGTGGGTCAGGGAGGGGTCTGTGGTGGTCAGGGAGGGGTCTGTGGGTCGGGGTGGTCTGAGGAGGAAGCAGATGAAGGGAGTTGCACACGGGAACCTTTATTTAAGATTTAAGTATTTTATTTCAAAGGTCCTCATGGCTCAGCAGCAGCAGCAGCAGCAGAAGCATAAATATTACTGTTAATAAAGCTGATGATAAAGTTGAATAAAAATCTAAGTCTGATTCTGAAGGTAAATTAAATATCTGACAGTGATCTTTACACAGTGTGGCTCTAATTCTTCACTTCACCATCTGTGTCGCAGTTTCCCGTCTCCAAAATGAGCGTACACATGGGTCAGAGCTGGCGTGAGGCACCGCACATTTTCACGTCAAGTTTGGATTTTATGAATCACAACCTTGGCGTAAAAAATGGCGTACGCAAGTTTCTGGGCTCATATTGTGTGTACGCCAGTTTTATAAATCTGACCCCTGGTTTAGTCCTTGTTTAGTCTAGGTTCAGACCTGGTTTAGTCCTGGTGCAGACCTGGTTCAGACCTGGTTTAGTCCTTGTTTAGTCTAGGTTCAGACCTGGTTTAGACCTGGTTCAGACCTGGTTTAGTCCTTGTTTAGTCTAGTTTCAGACCTGGTTTAGTCCTGGTGTAGACCTGGTTTAGTCTAGGTTCAGACCTGCTTTAGTCCTTGTTTAGTTTAGATTCAGACCTGGTTTAGTCCTTGTTTAGTCTAGGTTCAGACCTGGTTTAATCCTGGTTTAGACCTGGTTCAGACCTGCTTTAGTCCTGGTTTAGGTTTGGTTCAAACCTAGTTTAATTCTAGTTTAGTGCTTGTTCTGTACTTGTTTAATTCTGGTTTAGACCTGGTTCAGACCTGGTTTAGTCCAGGTTCAGACCTGTTTTAGTACTGGTTTGGTTCTGGTTTCCAACTGGTTTGTTCTTTGTTTAGTACAGGTACAGACCTGGTTTTGTCCTGGTTTAGTTTTGGTTCAGACCTGGTTTTGTCCTGGTGTACACCTGGTTCAGACCTGGTTTATTAATTGTTTAGTCTAGGTTCAGACCTGGTTTTGTCCTCGGTTAGTTTTGGTTTAGAACTGGTTCAGTCCTAGTTCAGAACCGGTTTAAACCTGGTTTAGTCCTGGTTCAGAACTTGTTTAGTACTGGTTTAGTCCTGGTTCAGACTTGGTTTAGTCCTGGTTCAGAACTGATTTAGTCCTGGTTTAGTCCTGGTTCAGACTTGGTTTAGTCCTGATTTAGTCCTGGTTTAGTTCTGGTTCAGATCTGGTTCAGACTTGGTTCAGACCTGGTTTAGTCCTGGTTTAGTTCTGGTTCAGACTTGGTTCAGACCTGGTTTAGTCCTGGTTTAGTCCAGGTTCAGACTTGGTTTAGTCTTGGTTTAGTTCTGGTTTAGATCTTTTTCAGACCTGGTTTAGTCCTGGTTTAGTCCTGGTTCAGTCCTGGTTTAGTCCTGGTTTAGTTCTGGTTCAGATTTGGTTCAGATCTGGTTTAGTCCTGGTTTAGTTCTGTTTCAGATCTGGTTCAGGCTTGGTTCCGACCTGGTTTAGTCCTGGTTTAGTTCTGGTTCAGACTTGGTTTAGACCTGGTTTAGTCCTGGTTTAGTTCTGGTTCAGATCTGGTTCAGACTTGGTTCAGACCTGGTTTAGTCCTGGTTTAGTTCTGGTTCAAACTTGGTTCAGAACTGGTTTTGTTCTGGTTCAGATCTGGTTCAGACTTGGTTCAGACCTGGTTTAGTTCTGGTTTAGTCCTGGTTCAGACCTGGTTCAGACCTGGTTTAGTCTTGGTTCAGACCTTGTTCAGACTTGGTTCAGATCTGGTTTAGTCCTGGTTCAGTCCTGGTTAAATCCTGGTTTAGTTCTGGTTCAGATCTGGTTCAGACTTGGTTCAGAGCTGGTTTAGTACTGGTATAGTTCTGGTTCAGGCTTGGTTCCAACCTGGTTTAGTCCTGGTTTATTTCTGGTTCAGACTTGGTTCAGACCTGGTTTAGTCCTGGTTTAGTTCTGGTTCAGACCTGGTTTAGTCCTGGTTTAGTTCTGGTTCAGATCTGGTTCATTCTTGGTTCAGACCTGGTTTAGTTCTGGGTTAGTTCTGGTTCAGACTTGGTTCAGACCTGGTTTAGTCCTGGTTTAGTTCTGGTTCAGATCTGATTCAGACTTGGTTCAGACCTGGTTTAGTTCTGGTTCAGGCTTGGTTCAGACCTGGTTTAGTCCTGGTTTGGTTCTGGTTCAGACCTGGTTCAGACCTGGTCTAATCCTGGTTTAGTTCTGGTTCAAACTTGAATCAGACCTGGTTTAGTTCTGGTTCAGATCTGGTTCAGTCTTGGTTCAGACCTGGTTTTGTTCTGGGTTAGTCCTGGTTCAGACTTGGTTCAGACCTTGTTTAGTCCTGATTTAGTTCTGGTTCAGATCTGGTTCAGACTTTGTTCAGACCTGGTTTAGTTCTGGTTCAGGCTTGGTTCCAAACTGGTTTAGTCCTGGTTTAGTTCTGGTTCAGACTTGGTTCAGACCTGGTTTAGTCCTGGTTTGGTTCTGGTTCAGACTTGGTTTAGACCTGGTTTAGTTCTGGTTCAGGCTGGGTTCCGACCTGGTTTAGTCCTGATTTAGTTCTGGTTCAGACTTGGTTCATACCTGGTTTAATCCTGGTTTAGTTCTGGTTCAGACTTGGTTCAGACCTGGTTTAGTTCTTGTTCAGGCTTGGTTTCGACCTAGTTTAGTCCTGGTTTAGTTCTGGTTCAGACTTGGTTCCGACCTGGTTTAGTCCTGACTTAGTTCTGGTTCAGACTTGGTTCATAGCTGGTTTAATCCTGGTTTAGTTCTGGTTCAGATCCAGTTCAGACTTGGTTCAGACCTGGTTTAGTTCTGGTTCAGGCTTGGTTTTGACCTGGTTTAGTCCTGGTTTAGTTCTGGTTCAGACTTGGTTCAGGCCTGGTTTCATCCTGGTTTGGTTCTGGTTCAGACTTGGTTCAGACCTGGTTTAGTCCTGGTTTAGGTCTGGTTCAGATCTGGTTCAGACCTGGTTCAGACCTGGTTCAGACCTGGT